CTGTTGGCGCACCGCCGCTGGTCTCTTGCACTGCACGTCGTGTCTCACTGGGGCCATCAGCAAAGCCCGCCTCGGAACTGGTGCGGCACAGGGTGCTGCGCATCATGGCATCACGAAGTTCAGCCTGGAAGTCTGCGGGCTGGCCTCGTCGAAGAGCATGCTGTCCCAGCTCCATGGCCAAAGGTTGTTGCCGAGCCCGGCCTAGAGCACGCTGAAGGACCGGTCGTTGAAGTAGTTGTCCCACCGGCGTTCCAGGAGCCGCCGTCGACGGAGCCGAGGGCCCAGTCATAGTAGCGGTAGCCGCCGGCGAAGAAGAGGGCAGCCAATCAGAAGGCGCCACGTTCCCCAGCGCCACGGCGGCCAACTCCAGGTCATCGTCCACGGGCTCGTCCTCGGGCACAGCCGCGGCAGGCTCGGAACCGCGAGCTCGGTCAAGACCATCGACCAGCTCTTTTATGGCCTCTTCCCAGGTGTTCGCGGCGAGTTGTTCCAGCGAAGAGGCGGCACGCACATGCTCAAGCGCACACTTCGTCACCTGGCTCTTGAAGGAGAGGAAGGCGTTGGTAGGGAAGCCTGTCTCACCAGAGGCCTCCAAGGCAATCAGCACGGCGGGTCCATGCCAACGTTTCAGCTCCAGACGCCGCCGCCGGGAAGAAGTCGAGACACGAGGGTCACCCCGGCGAGTCAACTTCTGTGCGCGCCAAAAGTAAACCACATCGCCAGGCACGGGAGGTTGAGAAGCTGTCGGCTCCCTGCTCCTCGCAAGCTCAGCCTTGCGAATGCTCTGGCTGTAGTGGAGCCTCACCATGGCAATGCGGGCAGACTCGCGGAGGGCCATGCGCTGGTTCAGGTTAGGGTCGGAGTCGATCAACCCGTGCTCGGCAAGGCGGCCCGCAAAGTTGTTCAAGACAGACCCCTGAGCCGCCGGCTGTCGCCCCGTCACGCACTGAAGAGGAGAGACACCTTCCGAGGTGGGGTCGGAGTTGTAGGCCGCCACAGCTTCGGACACCGCGTGGCTCATGTCTCGCTCCCCAATCACCACCCGGTCTGCGACGACCGCAGCGACCAGCGCCTTCAGGGTCCCTCCAGAGCGCTCAGCGATTCCATTTTGCCACGGAGCTTGAACGGCAGCGTGCCACGAGGCCCACTCCTGGAAGGCCTCCGCGACAAATTCCCGTCCCTGATCCGCGACCAATTGTTTCGGCGCCCCGAGAAGGGGAACCCAGGCGGTCATTAAGAAGTCGATCACTGAAGCTGCGCTCTTGTCCTTGAGTACCGCGGCTTGCTGGAACCTTGACACAGCGTCGGTCGCGTGAGCTACTATGTAGCTGCGACCTACCGCATCCTCCGTCACCAGCAGATCCACGTGCATCTGCTCGCCCACGGCACGCGGGGGAGGCAAACTCGAAACTCGACGGCTCCGAGGCGCACGCCTCTCCGCACAGACGTCACACTTCAGCTCGCGGGCGGCTTGAACTGCAGCTGGAGGAGCGCCGACAGCAGAAGGGCACGGGCAAGACGTTTCGGAGGGCGATGCCCAGTAGCTTCATGTACCCGTTTGACAGCCGAGCGGATTGCCGGCGTGATCTCGCCCTTGAACGGTTCCTGGGGCTCGTCATCTGAGTCCTGCTCCACCTCAAAGTCACCAAGGTCATCGGGCCCCGGCTCGGTCACGGCGAGGAGGTCGTGGTAAAAGTCGACCGCCCCAGGAACCGCCGTAGTCTCAAAGCTCTCGTGCACCGGCACTCTGGCGTCCAGCTGCCTGGACTCAAAGTCAAACTCTTCCTCAAAGGCTTGCACCAAGGCCTGTGGGAGGGCATACTTAACAGCACCGCACCGTTGAACCACGGCACGGTCCAAGAACCGGCTCACAACCGCCTGGCTCGAGGTCAAGAAGCGAAGGCCCAAAGCTGTGACCGCACGCAGCCCTGGGTGGCCACGAAGCCGTTTCAAAGAGGGAGCCCACCAGGCCGAAGAAAAAGCGGGAAGAAGGAAAACGAAGTGTCTCCCCCCCCCAATTTGTTCTCGCGCCAAGCGGGCGACGAAGTTGAGCAAAGTCAAGTCAAAGCGGCGGCTTTGGCGCAACTGGTCGGAGGACTGTCGCAAACGTGCTTCTTTACTCCAAGGCGCCGCCGGCACGGTGAGGGCAAGGAAGTAGGGCCGCTCACGCCGAAGTTCACCAGGTACTTGGCGGCGATGGTCAGGGCGTTGTAGGTCCCACCCGGCGTCCGTAGTCCAGGGGCCGGCGGTGGTATGGCCACGGACGCGAGCTTGCTGAGAGAGACGGTCCACAGCCGAGCCTGCCTCCGCCATGATATCAGCGGGATTTCCATGACGAAGGCCTCGCGGAGCGCACGTTTGTAGTTCATGAAGTGCTCCGCGATCATGGTCTCACGAAGCCGCCGGGGAGAACAAGATATAA